TTACTAAATCAAACCCAAGATGAGCCTCAAGGTCTTCAGAAAGCCTTACTTTAAAGGAAACTATGAGCTTGGAGTAGAAAAGACTGTGGCACATATCTACTGTGGGAAGAGTGACCTGGCATCCAGTGTCCCCCTACTTCCAAGGACATCGAGTTGTATTTGTTTCAAAGTATGGTAAATTACACTTCATCATATTTGTAACCACTAGCTTGTAACTATCTTATGTAGGAAGTTGGCAAGATGTGAATTTAATTTCATCTTCAACTTTTTAATATCATTCCAAAGGAAGCTAGCTTACTTTGATAAGCACATAGTCCTCTTGCCTGGAATAGATTAGAATGTGTCAATCCAGGAACATTCAAGCTATCTTCAGAAGTCTGAGTGAAACTTTGAATCAAAGGAATGTGAGGTACATCACTGTCATCCACATCCAAGCTGGTAGAAACATGTGGACCAGTCTGTGAAGTCAGTTCTCCAAATGTCCTCAAGAAACATTGAACTATTGTGGTCATGGTTCAGGAACCCTCTGCTAGTGGTTAAGACAGAAAGACTACTCAATTTAAGGACCTAGTTTCAGTCTTCTTATTTTTTAATTTTTTAAAACATTTAATGCTGTGGTTTTTAAAGTGTTAATTATTTACTTGTGTGTGTGCATGCTTGTATGAATATATGTGCATTATATGCTTGCTGGTGCCTACAGAAGCCAGAAGGGAGTGTTGAACCTCTTGGAACGTGAGTTACAAGGAGGTGATGAGCTGCCTGATGTGGATGATGAGAACCAAACCCATGTCCTGTGCAAGAACAGCCAGTGCTCTTAACCTCTGACCCATCTCTCCAGCCATAACCACATGACTGTTGACTTACAGTTCTGCCCAAAGAGCTTAGTCTTTGCTCTGATCTCAGGTTTATCGAGGTTGAAATTAAACTTGGAAACTGGGATTCAGCTGAGTGCATTTTCCATAATTACCATTCTATGTGTCTGAGTAGTAATAGAGGCAAAAAGACTTTCCCAGACTGTAGTGCCATGCATCGCAGAGAACAAGTCAATAGCATGGGAAACTTCTCCAAGGAAGCAAATCTCATAGCCCTCAGGACAGAAAGTCTTCCCTCAACCTGCCCAGTGAGATTTCAGAACTGAGAACCCACTGACCAGGTTTCTCCCATCTTTCCCTTCTTAGGTTGAAGTTTTTGTGATTACCTGCTCTGTCATTGTCTGCTACTGCATAGTGGTGTGTTAGGAGAGGGGTTTGAAGATAATTTTTGTTTTTAGATTCGATATCTTTAGAACAGGAAGCTCCCCATTTGGGCATGACAGGCATAAGATAGTCACATAAAATCTGGGGATCTGGGATTGGGAATGGGTGTAGTGGTAGAAGGAGTCTTTAGAAATGGGGTCAGTATGCTCTGTGTGGTAAGAAAAGCTAAGATGTTTTTAAGACATTAATCCCATTTAAGAATGGACTGGTGTGTTAAGTGACTGATCATGAAATACCTTGATGATTGCCGACACTTCCCAACCTCCTTATATACAGCCAGGACCAATAGACTTATTTTGGCAACAAGCCATGCTCAGAAATGATTTGTGCTAAAGCGTAAGAGTCAGCACATGTTCTGCAGGCATTGTTGTTCCCTGATGAAATAATCCCTTGAATGGTGCCTATGTGATTATGCAACACAGGCCAACTTCTCCCCTCATCCCTAACCTGTAGTGAGACTAAGAAAGAAGCCATTGTTATGGGAAGCCACAGCAACTGCAGAGACAGTTTTTACTTTCCGGATCCCCTAGTTATCCTGACTAATACAAACTCTGGAACTTCAAAACTGGCCTATACATTACATAATAGAAATATCACTAGCAATTTTTTATGAGAATATATTGAGATACATGTTACAGAACTATGAATGGAATGAGATATGATCTAGCTAACTAGAGTATTCTCATTGTCACAATTTGACCTTAGTCCTCATAAGTTCTTTCAGCCCTTAGACATTCTAGCTAGGCAGGCATCCAGAAACATGTTGTTTTGCCATTGTAATATTATCTTAATATCTCTTTCATAAATACCAGAAATCCTCTGGGCATTTATTCATTCTTGCACTCCCAACTTCAATGCATCCCCCAGGTAGATAAATTCTCACATGTTGATGACCAACCCATGCTTAGATCATAGTACACTCAGCATTAACAAGGCTCTTGAAGGCAGGAGGAATATAAGCAAGTCACAGGGAGGGGCATGCCAGGCACAAGAAAGGCAGCATGAACAACGCACATGAACAGGCTATACTTTCATTCTTGTCACTAGCCACTGATGTACATGACACAGGTAGTGGCAGTGTGAGGAGTAAGATGGGGGCTGAGCAGAATGTAAAATATCAGCACAGTGTCAATCAGAGCTGTCTTAGTCAGTGTTCTATTTCTGTGAAGAGACACCACGACCGTGGAAACCTTATAAAAAGAAAGCATTTAATTAGGGCTTGCTTACAGTTTCCGAGGTTTAGTCCATTATCTTCACGGTGAGGAGCACAGTAGCATGCAGGCAGACATGGCAGCTGATTGTTCTGCACCTAGATCTGCAAGCAGCACGAAGAAGAACCTCTGGGCCTGGCTTAAGCTTCTGAAACTTCAAAGCCCACCCTCAGTGACATATTTCCTCCAACAAGGCCACACCTCCTCCAACAAGGCCACACCTCCTCCAACAAGGCCACACCTCCTAACACCTCCCAAGTGGTTCCACTCCCTGATGACAAAGCAGTCAAACATATGGGCCCACGAGGGGCATTCTTATTCAAATCATCACAGAGGCAAAACAAGAAAAATCTGTCAGAGAAAATAGACCCTGGTTTTGCCGTTATTTTGTGAACAAAATTAAAAATTGTGAACAAAGCCAGCCTGGGTCCCAGGAAAGATAAGACAAGCCCAACACAGGAAATCCACATATAAGAATTTGAAATTGAATTATGTGAGAATTTAAAATGAAATAGACTTTATTACATTTAATAACATAATCTATTCAATTCCAGTGGTTCTCATCTTGCAGGTTGGAACTGCTTTGGAGGCTGCATATCAGATATGTACATTATGATTCAGTATGAAATTTGCCCCCAAACTGATGCAACTGGAAATCACCATGTTAACTAAAATAAGTAAGATGCAGACAATACAAATATTACATTTTTCTCATATGTAGAATCTATAAAAGGAAAAAAAAGGATGGCATGAGAAACGGGGGCTACTACAGTACAGGAAGTGGACCAAGACTGGAGAAATGATTGAGGTATGTGTGTGCCTGAATGAAAAGAGCACAAGCGGAAAGTGAGGGAACCGCTTTCCTTAGACAAGTTCACATTTAGTGTCTTCATGTGTGTCTATGATGAGCCGAGCTGTGCCTTTGAAAACATTGCTTAAGCCATGGAAGCTCAGCATCTCCTGCAGACAATTTTCATATGATGAGCCTGTTCAGATCAATTTCTATATAAAATTCATAGCTTCATAAAATGCCTTAAATACATCTATATATGTTGTGGGTTATGTCATCCATCCATTTGCTCTTCCACTCAGGACACATTCATTGAGCAACTGTGAAGTTCCAGGCAGCCTTCCATGGCTTACAAGCAACAGTGAACAAAGGAGAGATGTTCTCTGCCATGTGAGTTATACATAACACATATGGAGAGAGAGAGAGAGAGAGAGAGAGAGAGAGAGAGAGAGAGAGAGAGAGAGAGAGCAAATACCATGTGAGAGCTGAAAAATTATTATAGTCTTGGTGAACAATATAATATGAATATTGGAAAAAGACTCACAAGTGTTTCAGTCTTTAAACAAATGTGGTAAATTTAGGCAAATGCATGGAAGAAAACAGTCACCTTAGCAAAAAGCACATTTGCTTATTAGGTCTTCATACCACCCCATGATCTTGCCAACCTGAGAGGCAGAGGCTGGATGCTACATTTATGTCTTGTCTCCATTTCTATTTTGCAAGCATTTCTCGTTGTCTTTACTCTTCAGAAATGTAGCTTTCATGTGGAAAATCTTGCATTCTGTATAAAATTATGTTTATTGTTTAATAGTTTCTGTGATCATAAATAAAATTTATATGCATAAATATTTACACAAAATGGTGAGTAGAATTACAAGATTGGATGTTATATGCATGTTATATGCATTTTAGGGCTCTTGAAATACATCCCAAAGTGGGACTGTAGGAAGGTTACACTTTCTCAGTAGTATCTTAGCAGTATATGGAATTCTATGTGATTTAAATTTTTCATCCCAAACCACACATCATTGCTCTTTTACTTTCCTTTCTTCTTTTGGTATTCCTCTGAAACTATATTAAATTACACATTCCTTTTTGGTGGTGAAGTTGATTTTTAAAATTATTGTTGGTTCTTCAGCATTTTTCTTTTTATTATGAAATATTTATGCATGATCACATATTTGCTGTGATTTTTTTCCAAGTGATAATCTATATGAACAATTTTTGACATTCTGGCACTAAGAAATATTTTATGCATTCACACTTGTTGACATCTTTCTTGTGATTTCTCTTATTATTCTGCTTAGAAAATGTTCCATATCTTGACATCATTAAAATATATATCTTTTAGTTATTTGGTACAAGGTTTTAATTTTCTTTGGTGGATTTAACTTATGTGTATTTATTTTGGTAAGATTGGGTCTCAATTTGAACATTTTCCAACAGTCTATTTTCTGAACGTCGTTTGCTAATAAAATAATTTTTTCCCCATAGGTATATGATGCTCTATTATCTGTTAGGTTTACATACACAAGACCTGGTCTCTTTTGGAACTTGAAATAAGCTATCTAAAAGATTCTGCTTTAAATGTGGGTAGTTATAGTTTCCTATACTTTTTGTCCCAGGTGTAAACAAATTAAAACAATTCTTAGTACTTGTATTGCCTGAATGGGTGAGAACAACCTGCGGAGGCATTTAGGACCCAGGGGAAAGCCAGGCTTGGTATAGAAGGACAGAGTCTCTGGCGCACACGCCTCCTACCCAAATCACAGCCCCGTGCAGCCCGGTCTCTCATTCACAGCTTTCTAGAGAAATCTGAGCTCCAACTGCCAGGATAGGGGATCTCACCCACCCAGTTCAGCCGCGCGCGCGGACACCTGCAGAAACACATTCTCAAAGCAAGCCTGGGCGGCGGTGTGAAGGTATTTGTTCTTTTTCTTCCTTCTGTGTTCTCAGCGCCTCCCCGCCTGTCCCCGCTCTAGTGATGCCATGGCTGCGGCGTTTCAGCACTTCGGCGCGTGGACAGCTCCCATCTGCAATCCCACTGCACTCCATCCTTCCGCACCCCACTCTCCACCGCCTCCGCGGTCCATTCTCCTGCCACGCTGCCCAGCCTGCGCTCCCCAACCATCAGCACCCTATCCCCACCATCGCCGTCATCATCTCCACCATCACCGGCGCGGTAACTACAGTCCACACAACTGTGTCTTGTCACTTAGACAAAGCCTGAGGTCTGCAAGGTAGAAAGGAAAGAGCTCAAGTTCACAGGCATAGAAGGGAAAGTTCAGGTGGAGAGACCCCGGAAAACAAAGAGAGACGCCTGCTTGAGAGAAAGGGAAAGTGGAGGCAGCAGGAAGAGACCCCAGAAAGGGGACAGATGGGGACTTGCCAGACACCAGCAGTTAGGCAGCTGCCTTTCAGCAGATTAGAGACTGTTTAGTTCAGGAAATTAACATGGCCTGAGGCATAGTGTGATTCCAGGAAGAAATGTTAGCTCAGCCCCGATATTCTGGTTTTCCAATGGAGAGTCACCAGGAAGCAGGGTGGGGGTGATGGGTGACTCACAGCACCCACATGGCTGCTTTTCTCCCTAAGCATTTACTGTAGAAACTCTGGAATTAAGTTTTTTGTTTTTTTTTAATGTTAACCCCAAAGGTTAACTCTATGGCCAAATGAAAATTAAAATGATGATAGTGAGAATGTATCAAATAAGCTTTTCACCAGGAAATTCTATTTGCTAAAATGTCTCTTCTTCTATACTTATTTCAATTTCCCAATCTTAAACCTCTTCTGGAAAGAGAACAGATATATCCCTTGCCCAAATGGCCAAAGTGGTAATGATATTCTGAGCAGATGGCCTGGCTTTGTTCATTACTAGTCAAGGACTGGCTCAGATTTGGGAGGCGAGATTTCCGTGTGCTTTCTCAGTAATCAGGCAATAACACCATTTTCCTAGAATAGTAAAGGGTAATAGAGTGCAGAAATTGAAAAGGCATTTTATGTAACTGTGATTTGCCTGGATCTGCTTTACAGTGCTTTCGTCTTCTATCAAAGCCGATGGGGAGTGGGGACATCTTTCAAACAGCTCATGAATTTGGACCTGATGGTCCAGTCCTAGGTCATGGCACCTATTTGATTTAACCAGGATCATTTGCTTTATCAGAGCTAACCAGCAACAGCAACCAAGTGCTTGCCCCCGTCATTAATAAGTGTGTTGAAAGGGACTCTGACTTGACCATACTGAACTGCAAAGTATTGTCGTTTCTTTCGTTGCTGTTGTTGTTTTTGCGAGTTGTTTTTCATCACATCGGCATCTTAGTTGAAATGTGTTGTATTGAAGTAGAAATGTTGTCAGGTCACCCACCGGTCACAAGAATGGTTAAACCAGGGGACACAAAGCCCCACTTGGCACTATCCTTGTGCATAATCCACCTCTTGGAAAAGGGACAGTGAAGCAAGTTCTGTTCTTGCTTATCTTTAGAGGCACCACCCAAAGTGGAGAGATTCATAAACAGTCTTCTGGAAGAAGCTTTGTGCAAAAATCCATGCTCAATAATCTTCATGAATGAGGAATAGTAGCGTCATGCCGAGTTTGCTTACTGTTTCTAATTTTATGAACTTAAAAGCACAGTTCTATTTACCTCTAAATTTCAATCATTTTAAAGCTCAAACCAAGAAAATCAGTGAAAACATTTGGCAAAATGTATTGCATTTAGTCACCTACCACTGTCCTTAGACTGATGTTATGCACAACAAACAAGAGCTCTCAAGTCTTTGTGAAAGACTTCTTAAGACTCCCTTATCTATGTGCAAAGAATGGTCCAGACCAGGAGGCTGAAAAAAAATGTGTACATGTTGTCAATTTGAGCAGCTTCACCAGAAACACAGGCCCGGAATACAAAGCTTCCAGGGCTGCCGGCTTCCTGTGCTCGCTCTAGTTCCCCAAGGCTGGTGGGATGGCAAAGTGGTGCCGCTTCAGGAGATTTACAGGCACCTGTCTCCGAAGCCATGCTTCTTCTCCCTATCGGAAACACTATGCCCAGCTTATTAATTTTTATAGAGTGTTACTGTTGTGGCTTCCACACTTTTTTTTTTTAGTTAGGGTTGTTTATCTTTCATATTGCTAATAACAAAACTTTCTGATTTAAAAATGGATTTAAAGGTAAACAGAAACATTTGTTTTTCAGCACGGTGTCCTTTTTGTAGACAGGCTTGTAGAAGGGGGAGGGTACGACATTTAAGAAAATGAGCTAGAAGGCTCATTTCCTAAAAGATGAAGTCTTAAACTGTTAGGGCTGGTGTGTCTGCTTTGTGCTTGACAAGAGAGACATCCTATTATCTCTGGGAAATCTGCCCCCAACTTCACAAACTCCCTTATTGCAGAGCCATTCTTCATAAGTGGACTCTGGCTGGCTTTGATCTTCTCTGCTGTTGTGACTTGGACAGAAGAGGTGACAAGCAGCGTGGAGGATAAAAAGCATGGAGCTGATATATATGTATTAACCCAGAAAAGCCCACAGGGTCATCAAGAGAGCTGGCCCTCCCTTCCTGATGCATCCTCTCCCAAACAGGCATTGTTTTCATCATTATCAGTCATATCCAAATTTCACTAGAATGAGGCTTCACAAGAAGGCCCACAGTGTGAAGGACCACAAGTCTGCAACCCTCCACAGACCCAAGTTCTGTATCACTGTAGAGAATCCATTTTTTTGCAGCTTAAAGGAAGTTTGCACTTTGTCTGCCTAAACCAACTGGCCAGACACTGTCTTCACCCATGAAGAACCCTTATGTGTTCAGATGTGAGTTCATTATCTCCCACTTCCTCTCAGTTTTCTCCATCAGGTTACCCTGGGCTGTTTTCTTTCTATGGACTTGCTCTATGCCAAGAAATATTATGGAAAGTGCTTTTAGAGGTAGGCTAATTTCCTGGGAGTTTTTGTTCAACTTGATTTCTGAGCAAGGAAGAATTTCCCTACATGTGTTGGGATGCTAGACACAGCTGAATCTTCAATTCTTAGATGTCTGGCTATTCTTTACCTATTTCTGTTCCTTAAAATAGAATCACCTGGATTCAGATTCTATTATAGCTCAGATGTATTACGTAAACTTCCAGACCTTTATGTGTGTCACATGTATAGGTCACTTGGTGCTCTGTATTTTATAGTTTTAGAAGAGGCAGGGACAAAGTTGTGGGTCAAGGGATGATTGAAGGGCTCACATCACAGGCTACATAAGCAAACTTCTCAAAAGGGAGTCACCTGACATTTTCCCTACATGTTCTTTTCCTTTCATTCTCTTTCTTTCCTCCTCTTCTTCTTCCATCTCTCCCTCTCTCCTTCTCTCTTTCTTCCCTCTTTCCCTTCCCATCCCTCTTCCTTCTCTCCCTTTTGCCTTCCTTCTCTCTCTTCATTCTTTTCTTCCCCTTTCCTTCTTTTTAGATGTTATATAGTATGCAAGCACATGTGGGTGTAATTCATAGGGTGATACAGTAAGCTGCCATGGGTGCAATTGCCCATGGGAATGGACACTCCAGTGATGTGCTCATCCCCCTATTAACAATGTGGTGCTGCTGAAAACACACAGATATTTCAAGATTTGCTTCGGCGCAGGTCATTCACCTCAGCACTTTGGGGTCATTGCTTCTCAAGTCTGATTTTATTGCTCAGTCAGTGGGTTAGAAGTGCATCTCAGTAGTCTGTTCCCAATAACCTGTGAAGTTACAAGGCTGCTATTGATTAATGGGTGAAATTCTTGATTGATATATAATAGTTATGCATATTATGGGACCTGGTGTAGTCTTTCAATGAATGTATATCATCACAATGGTCGGGTTAATTATCAGTTCTTTGTGTTGAGAACCTTCCTACTCTTCTTCTGGCTTTAAGATATGTAGTCATTTGTAAGCTATAGTTGGTCTACTGTGCTCTGGAACACTGAAGCTTGTTGCCCCGATCTAAGAATATTTTGATACTTGTCCCACTTCTCCGTGTCATCCATTCCTCCTCCCCTTTCCAGCCTCAGTTACTATTGTCTTCTATCTAATCAATGTTTTTGTTCTTTATATGTGAGGGAGAGCATGGTATTTGTTTTTCTGTCTGGCTCATTTCAGTTAACATGATGAATGGACCTCCACTGAAGAAGGAGGACAGAGGTTACCCTCTGACTTAAATTTCATACCTTCAGGTATAGTTAGTAATAAAGTTTAACTGAAACAAAACCCAACCCATTCCAACTTCAGAGACAGTGAGAGCTCAAAGAACACAAGTTCAGGTGAAGGTTGCAGGGCAGGGGGGTCTTCTCTCTTCCCACCTTACCCCAAAGCAACCTTATCCATTCCACTTTTGCCTGGGAGTTTTCTTCATTCTGATCCTTGCTGTAGCCAATTTTTATCCCAACCCATATCCACAAGAAGAATCCCAGTTACATTGATGTACTGGGAAAACAAAGTGAGAAGGGGAATTTAAGGACTATTTGGGGAGGCCCATCTTTCTTATACCTCCCGATTATTTTCTCAAATAATAGAGTCTATTTTGGAGAAAATATCTTCTTCATTTGAAGATAAAATAGTCAAGCATTTCCCTTTCCTGTCTTCTCTCAATGATATGCCTACCAAATGCAACTGATCTGCTTTGGACCTAGGAGTGCTAACTGCTTGTGAGTTCTTAGGGCAATAGAGGGACATCCTATGAAGACATTTCAGTCTCTATAACCTTCTCCCCATGCACTTTCTCTCCACAAGATACACTGATTAGAAAGAGTTATTCTAATGAAAAACTTCCATCCTAATATAGCAGAGAGGCAGAAGGTACTCTACTGTTTTTCAGCTTGTCTAGCCCCTTTTTACATCGCCACACAGCAAGATAAAAACATAAAAGATGACAGAATGTTGTTCTAGAACTCAGGACTCAATCTTTGCCAAATA